TGGGTTCCGGGAAGTGGGCGGGCGAAGCCCACCCACTGCTAAAGGATCCCCCCCCAGCCTAAGGGGAGGACCTACAGGACCTAAAACCCAAATGATTACGGGGGACAACTAATGTAAAAACAGGAACAGGAGTCCGGTCAAAGGGTCAAAAGAAGGGAACCTGACGGGGACACCGAGCAGAGAACCCCGGACAGCGCCCACTGCTCCTCAAAGGTGTCAAGGGAGCCCGTGGACGCCGCCCAGAGGAACTCTGTCCGGATACGTGAACGGACAGAGGATCGGAACAGGCCCCCCAGTCCCAGGAACCTCCATCGGCCAACCTCCTCTCCCTGGTTTTATAGATGGCCTGTTTAGCCAGGGTCAAGAGGAAGTTGACCAGGAGGTCCCATGACTTTGTGGGGCCACGGATAGGGAGTGCATAAATGAGAAGGTGAGGGGAAAAGTGCAACCAAAAACACAACATAATGTCGATGAGGAGCCGGTGTAGGGGCTGCAACCTGGCACACTAAGTAAACGTGAGCCAGGGTCTCCCTCACGCTGCAGAAAGGACAGGTGTCTAGGCAAAGTTCTTTCTCTCTGGTGCAGAGGGCATTTGCGTGCACGCGCGCACACACACACGGAATTCACAGCTGCATCTACTCAAAGAGCTAATGTTTGATCCTTTGCTGCTGCCCTGAAATCCCCAGCATTCCCTGCTCCATCTGCAACTACTGGCTCCCTCACCTTTCTGCTCTTCCATGACATTGGTCTGTGACAAGGGCATTTTTTTTTTAAACGCTGCTGTTGATTTTGCTGTCTCTATTGATCTAGGTGCTGCCACTCACTGCCCTTCCTTTAATTGATTGACAAACTGCTGCCTGGGGCAACAGCAGAGCAGTACAGTGTAAAGTCCTGATGGAAAGGAAGGACTTGTGGGTAAAGCTCAGCACTGGACTTGGGGGCCCTGAAGTCAGTTCCTAGCTCTGCCACAGACCTCCTGTGTGACCTTAGGCACGTCACCTAATCTCTGTACCTTGGTTCTTCATCTGTAGAATGGAAATAATTAATAAGTCTGTGCCTCGCAGGAGTGTTGTGCAGATAAAAATTCATTAATGTTTAAGTGCTCAGATACTACTATGATGAAGGCCAGGAAAGTAAAGTAACAAGCACCACAGAAAAGCCTGCATGCAAATGATACCCTCCAATCTTAGAACTTCAGATTCTGAAAACTGAATGTGGTCATTTAATTCACCACAATTACTCGCTCCTGTGTGTGTTATAGACCTTAATGTGCTAGAGAGAGGCTCTAGTAATCAGGGATCATTTTCAATTGGCAATGGAGCTGTGACTTTCTAAAGATTATCAAGTTCAAATCAGTGTGACCTGAGAGTAGAGAAATTGGCGTGAAGAACAACCAAAAGATATGACAATCTTCATCTCTTCAGTTTAGTTATTTTCTTTAAGTATTTTGTGTTCTAGCATATAAAAAAACCCTCACCTTTCAAAAATAAATCTGTCACTATTTTTCCAAAATTCTTCAGTATTTCCCTATATTGTTAAATATTTTTGGAAGTGTGTTCATTTGCTTTTTCTTCTGTTCATAACAATCAGAGGCAGGAAGCACCTGCACGCCAGGAGAGATCAGATGCAAGCTTTAGTCTCCACAGGTGAAAGCTATTAATCCTTCTGGAAAAAAACTGCCTTGCTCCATGTATGAGAGAATCACATTGCTGTGTGGAGGGAATGAGTTACAGCACTAGTATAAAGGCTTACATATGTAAGCAAACTCATGATTGGTGAAGATGTTCAGTGCATGCTGTCTAATAATTGTTTCCACTTTTGGACATTTTGTAAATAATCTGTTCTGAAATGGCCAAATTCTTAGACATTACCCACCTCAACTACTGAGTAAATCTTTTGTCCTAACCCAAAGCTTAGCTCACATTTACAGAAAGCAGAAATGAGAGTTACCACCTGCTGGTCCGCTTTCACACTAAAGACCTAATCACATTGAGGGTGCTGTGTTAGTTATTTGTATAGAACATGAGCAGAATTTTCAAAAGTGCCTAAATCCCATTTTCAAAAGTGACATAGGGTGAGAAGTACAAAGGGATGTGGAAGTTGCAATGCTGAGCATTGCAGTGTCTAACTCTTAGGTAGGCAGACACAGTGGAACCCCCACCTCAACGTGAGGTGCCCAGGCTCCCATGCACTGAAAGGGGAGTTTTCTGCCTCAGAACAGGATCTTGAGAGAGCTGAGTTGGAAGCTGGCTATGAGCCTAAGAGAAAAGGGCTCCTGGCTCCACAGCAGGGAGTCTAGTAGCCCAGAGAGCCCTGGAGCCAGCTGGGATTCTCAAAGCTTCCAGCCTCCTTGCTGCAGGGCCAGGTCTCCCAGCTCACTTGCAGATACCCTAAAAGCCCCCAGGCATTCCAGAGGTACCTGCTGCAGCGTTTAGAGCCAAGCAGTGACGCTGCAGCCCAGTGGTTAGGGCACTAATGTAGGAGACACACGAGCAGGGATCTGACGTTGAGTCTCTCACATCCCAGCGGAGTGCCCTAAGCACTAGGTCAGGACACACACAACTGTCTTTTGTGTGGGGCCTGACTCTGGGGGTGTGCTCAGAGTTAGAGGCCTAAAGAGACAGCGTTTCCAGGGATAGGCATATGCAAAGCCACTTAAGTGCTGAGTGGAGTGCTTTGTCGACTTAGCCGCCTAAGTAAGTCCCACTGAGTCTCTCTGAGATCTAGCCTCATAAGGGATCCTCAAAGGTATTTAGGCACCTAACTCATTGCTTTCTAGAGGCCTAAATACCTTTGAGGATCTGGGCCTAAATTCCTGACTTAGGCACTTTTAATAATTTAACCCCATGGCAGTCTCTGCTTCGTGAGGTAACAGCTAAAAATTCAGGGACTAGACCCGAGTCCACATTGTGCTATTCTCAACTGGTCAACATACTGAGTGGCTGTGAAATAGCTAGTAGAGAATCATATTGTTATAAAAAGGTAGACTATTATTTTTTGAAAACAAACTGCTTTACACAGATATAAGCCAGAGTTTTTTATTTACCATGTTAGAGCTAATTCTAAAATTGGCTTATAGCACAGTTTACTCTAATGCTACAGTGTAGTCATTCTCATTGGCAACATCCCTGATCACCTGAATGGATAATTGAACAAATAATTGTGATTGCAGTAGTGGTGGTTGGTCTAGATGTTACTGACAAAGGAGAAACTAGACAACAGAGGAGACTCTCGGTCTAGTGTGAAAATATCAGAATGTTTTAACTTCTCTTACGATATGGTTAGTAGTTGTTGTGAGTGTATGTGCTGTAACCATGCATTTGTATCCTTAGAAATAAGATTATGACAAAATCCCCTCGCTCAGGCCTTATTAAAGCTGTTTAAATCAACCCCATCTGTAAACAGAGGAGGAAGTTATCTGCTCAGAAGCACACGGAGGCTTCTTGACTCCAAAGCTTTAATCTCTCTGCTTGCACAGAATTCTCATTGAGAGGTCCATGCATGTAGAGAGTAGAATGCCAGATCTGAGATCCACTGTGCTGTTCAGAGGAGAAATTTACCTAGTTGTAATGGTTGCCAGTACTAGAATACCACTATTCTAGAAAATTATGGATGATTTTTTAAACGTTAAGTACCTGGGACAGTGGCATTTACTTGTCAGATTTTGCATTTCCCTTATCTTGAAAATAGCTTGTTTTTTTTTTTAATTGAAAAATTTCAGGGTCTTTGAATCTGAGCACTTCAGAGCTGGGCCCTCAACACTTCAGCTGACACCCTTGGAATGGCAGGTGATTAACATCTGAGGGTCAAGGATGAAATCCTGGCCCCACTGAAGTCAATGGCAAAACTCATATTTAAAATAGTGTCCATGTGCCCTTTTGTTTTTAACAAAGTGGGTGAAGCATTAATGGTTGAAGATGAGCTGCTTTGTAAGCACCTAGAGCTCCTCACTCCAGTCCAAATCCAAAAGGAGCCAGAGTATTACAGTCCAGTCAGTCACACACATTATATATCCAAATCTATCTATCTATCTATATACACACATACACACATACATCCCTCCACGCACACTTACCCAGGGGGCCATAAAGTGAATCAAAGAATAGGCATCCTATACTGAAATAAGATATTGTGGGTCAGGTTAAACCTTACTTAAATTGTTAGGACTTCTACCCCTCATTTAAAATAGACAGCCAAACAGCTTCACCTTACAGCTAAGACACAAGGGGCATGCGAGCCTGCCCTGTAATTTGGACTGAGTGGGCAGAGGACTCCACAGTGGGGAGGTGGCTATATGAGAGTGAAGAAGCACAAGAGAGACAAGCAGACACAGCTGGGAGCACAATCCTGGAAAAAGCCTAGAGAGAGAGACCTTTTTTGGGGGTAGGGAGGTTGCTAGCTGAAAGAGGTTTTTGGTTAGAGAGCAAGGATGCTGCCCTGATGTTTGGTTGCTCCTCTGTTCAGGGAAATAGAATTTTGTATGTGGTTTGTAGACAAACAAGATTGCATCAAAGATACCAGACTCCACCAACAATTTGTACAGAGCCCTGACCTTTGACTAGCTTATGAGATCAAAAGAGGTAACTTATTATATATAATGCCTACAGCCCTAGGATAGTTTCCAGGTAGCAATATGAATTTTAAATAAACAGCTGCATATCCCTTAAAGCCCACTCTGCTATACTGACTTACTTGGGGGACTAGAGCATCATCTTTTGCAAAAAAAAAAGTATTTTATTCAGTTGCCTAGATGAAGGGTGAATTGCATGCATAAAACTCATATTAAGACTAACTTAAGTGATAAGTGTAAACTGTCTCACCTCGATGTACACTGTATGTCACAGTCTTAACGTGTGTGTTACCACCACCACAGGGATGTGCACATTAAAGATGTCTGAGAGGTTTAATCGTACACATTATATACATTTAATACAGTATAGCTGCAAACATGTCTGTAATCCCTTACTGAAGATGGCATTTTTTTCTTTGTTTAATTACAGCCTGCAAGCCATTTTCCAGCATCATCATCTACTGATATTTCTTTATCTGATGATACTCAGCCTCCATCTCAGTCCAGCTCGAACTATGGTCTCCCACCCAATGCCCCGCCACTATACACACCAACTTACTTCCTGCCAGAAGAAAAGCCTCCACCGTATGCACCCTAGAACACAGAATTACATTTTAACTTAATTTTTTTTAAAGACATCTTTGGAAACTCTGAGCTGCACAGGCAGCAGACTATTAAGGAAACTGTTGTGTGTTCTATGATTGTTCTACTTTTAACCCCAACTCACTGTGAGCTAACCAGAATCCTGGAAACCTAAGGCAGGCGTGTCACCAGAGGAAGGTATCAGTCACCACACAGTTTGCATGTAGTCAATTGGGACATTGCTGTCTGGCTAACATGAGCATGATTTTCTTTCTTAGCATAATACATAGTGACCTTTTTTTCACTAGAAGAAACAAAGAAAAACACTTAGAATACTTGGTTCCATTTTCATAAACCAGTATAGAGTGATACTTCTGAATTAGAACTCTTATAGTCTGTGGATACAAGTGGGGAGTCTGGATTGAAAGAAACCAGATTTTTTTCCCCCCTTATACTATTCAGTTAAGAGCCCCTTTTTGGTAAAAATGTTGTTCCAATAAATACGGTGTGACAATTATTTAACAATAAAATATGCTGTGTTTGTTTGGTCTACACTGGGGGGGGGGGTCGATGTAAGATATGCAACTTCAGCTACAGGAATAGCGTAGCTGAAGTTGACGTATCATATTTCGACTTACCTCGTGGGATCGACAGCCACAGCTCCCCTGTCGACTCCGCTACCGCCGCTCGCCCTGGTGAAGTTCAGGAGTCGATGGGAGCGCGTTCGGGGATCGATATATCGCATCTAGATGAGACGCGATATATCGATCCCCGATAGATGGATTGCTACCCGCCGATCCGGCGGGTAGTCTGGACGGACCCATAATACTGTACCTAAGTCGGTGAAAGGGGAAGCAAAATTCAGAGGTCAAGATCCCAATTAGTATTGTCCTATTCTGAAAAGGTACAAATATAAAATTTTATTTGAACAGGGCTGTTTTAATTCTGTTTGAATTGTGTACCCGTCCAGCTAATACTAACAATGATAAAATGTCATATCAGTGAGCTAAAGGTGCAATTTCCAGTTAAGTATTGAACCTGTATATAATACTTAGTACAGTACTGAACTCTGTATTTTTCCATATACTGTAAAAGGCAGATGAGATGGGGGCAACTGATTCCTTTTCTAGTAAAAATGGAAACTAAAATGCTGCATGTTGACCTAAATTATTATGTAAAAAGAGACCTGTCCAATAGTTTTGAAGCTGTAGCAATGCATTGGTGAATGCTCAGAGTATTCCTTTTTGCGTTTTTTCCCTTCCAGCCTCCCACTACAGAGAATTTAAAAATACACATACACACAGTAACTCCTGTGGCGGTAGCATCCAAAGGAAAGACATGCTCTTGTACTCCCTCTTCTGGATAGTAGCAAGCACTATTCTCAGCTCTATGCTGCCATAATCAGTGATGACAGTGCTTAAACAAGGATGAAAATAATTAATTAATGACTCCCTGAGTTGCTGATTCCTCCTGCAACACCCCGAGGGCCTCAGTGTTCTTTGCCACAGCAGGACTGTGGGACAGCACAGGAAATGTAGTTTGCTCCATGGACCTAGCTCATTGGGCAACAATTAATCCAGTGCCACATTGGAAACTTAAAAAAAGTTTCCCAACAGTCAAAGTGCAAAATGGAAAGGGGGACATATTTTATCCTTAAGTTTTTAAGCAGTTGTTACAGTAAAAAAAAAATAAAAATCTATTAAGAATACTAGACTGCTTTCCTTCGAAGGATGTGAACATTTGAACAGCTGAAATCACAGCAAAAGATCATAAAATTATGTGGAAGTTTCCATCCATCAATGAGTTTTCTATTGATGTACCAAAAAAAAAAAAAAAAAGACTTCAATACAAAATATGAAATGTTATTCAAAATGCACCAGAGAAACCTACCTATTCAGTTCAGCATGGTTTCTGAAAAGGATCAGGGCTAGGTTTGGGCTTATTGAAGAAGGCACAGGGAGTTGCCTTGCAGAAGCAAGGCAAACAGAATTTTTGCACTCAAGCTTTAAAAAAAAAAGAAAGAAAGAAAGAAAAAGATTTTAAGCAAGGTGGAGAGAAGGGTAAGTTACTTTCAAAACACATGAGCTAGTGATTTTAGTTTATCATAAGTGCTTGGATTTCCATGGCTGTATGAACGACAACAAACAGATCAGTTCCTCAGGCACATATATCCAGTTTTGTATAATGAGAATTTTGGCTGGTTAGAAGCATAGAAGGCACATGGTGTCAACCCTAAGTTTTAGAATGGACCGACACCATTAACTTCAGTGGCTTAGTGAACTACTTCAAAAGGGAGGGTGGGGGGGAATGGAGATTTCACTGTTTCTGTACAATTGATTGAGAGGGAGAGGAGGTAGGTATGTGTCCTACTCTGACATCTCACTGCTGCCAGTTAGAAAACAAAGGTGTGTGGAAGAAACTCCCCTATCATCACCCTCACCTTTGCCCCCCCATCTGAGCGCTGCTGTATAGTATTACAGATGTCATCAGTTTAGAAATAATACACATTCCTATATTCTCCGTATTTTTATACTGTAAATCCTAACTTTTTGTCCACACAAAGTAGGTGTATAAAGTCTTTACACACACAAATAATTGGAGCAATTTTTGCATCAAAATGATGCATTTCCCATGTATGTCAATTATTTCAATTAACTTTTTTAAGCACAGTACACTGTTATAGTCTCTTTCACGTAATGTCAAGTGTGGAATTGCACAGCACCACCTCATACCACAAAATTATTCTTTTCAGTATCCAAGATAATTCTGGCACTATAAATAGAACCACTGGCTTTAACAAAGGTCACACAGATTTGTGACTCTCATATGCCTCACAGCTATTTATTTGGGAAGTACTGCAGAAATAACACAAATGCTAGAGGTGAAACTATTTTGCTAGCAGGTGCTCTTTGAAAAGAACAAAGCTTAAACTGGGTTTTGTTCCTCCAATTAGTAGGAAGTGTCAGATGTCTTCCAAGCTTGTGCTGTTTTCTTTAGAGCTACTTCAAGTTGGAAGGATGGGATATTGATGTAGGAAAAGACCTGAAATGACCAGGAAAAACAATACAATAGAGAATCACCATAGGCTATGATATGTATGCATTCCCCAGTAAGGCTGGAAATGAGAAACCTGAATAAAACATTTTCTAGGTCCTAATCATGTCACCAGTTGATCCATCATCATCTCCTAACAGAAGCAGCATCCGGAGTATTTGGATTTCTCTCCCCTCATTCCTCAAAAGGTAAGACAAATGAAATTATTACTGGTATACACGACCTATTCACCTTCCTCCTGTAAGCCTGTCCCCTTTTTCATTTACTTTTAGTGAATAAATGTCCTTCAGAACTTTTATCTGGTCCCCTTTGAATGTGCATGGACTTCTGCTATTTGTCCTTCTTTAAAGCACAAAAAGCTTGTTGCTTGACTGAAGCTGCAGACCTGAGCTTTTCAGTCTTGCTGCATGACCCTTGACTGTCTGGCTCAGGGAACCAGTCAGTCTTGATGTTGCATTATCTAGTGGATAGATACAGTACAGCTGCCATATCCCTCTTCCAAACACATTTGGCAGTAAGGATTTTTTTAATGTGGGATACTCTATCCAGTTGCCCATCCTTTTCCTGGGGAAAGTTCTATCTGGATAGTTTGGCTACAACTGTGGGCAAATTTGGAGGTTATTAGGTTAATCTGTTGACCCTCTCTCTAACTTTGACCAGGTAAAACACTGTATATAAGTGCTACAGAATATCTATAAAAAGATTAGTAAACTTGGGTCTGTGCCATACTGACCCTTGCAAGCCCCAGAAGTCATTGCTCGGACTCTCTTTGTAAAATAATTTGTCACCTAACGAATCTAGAGTTTATTTTAAAAAATTCCTTAAACAAAAAGAAAATCTTGAATCAAAACACTGCCATACCCAGTGTTATTTGCACTATGCATGAAATTCTAGCTGTACTCCAAGATATCCTCATCCATAAAATGTTTGAATTCTAACCATAACAAGATATTTATCACTCTCAATTTGTTACTCTAATGCAAAATATGGGCCACGTGCTGCATGCTTTCAAGTGTCTCTGGAGGAATTCCAATCATCCTAGAATCCTCTGGATGACATCATCTCAAGAGATGCTCAGCACCTTGCAGGACCTGTCCCCATGCTAGTAACCTCTCTGGAGGCTAGCAACAGCTGAAAGTGAGCAGACAAAACACACACAAAAATTTGCACAGAGCCAGTGTGCAGCAGTGAGAAAGATAGTCCGATCCACCTAAAACAGCGTTGGCAAAGCCTACCGTGTCTATCCTGAAGAGCCCCTGCTGGTAAGCATGGAAATTAACACACTTTGTTCTGCTGCACACTCTGGTGAATAAGCCCATACACAGTCTCAGCCACACTGCTATTCAGCCTGGGTAGCTCACACTTAATCACAAAGCCTCAGCGCTCCTATAGGCTCATAGTGAGTGAGCCAGCCTAAAAATTAAGTAGCAAAAGTTACATCACTGCATGATATTCCCTGTTCTCGATATCTTTCATCACTTGCCTCACTGATTACTGACATAAGACACTTTGGCTTCTACCTGAGCTAGGCTTTCCTTTTAATTGTTTCCTGCTGACCCAATTTTTCCTCTCACTTTCAAGTTCTCCATTGACCAAGAGCTTTTTCTCAAGGTTGTGACTGAGCCTGTTATCTCTGGAGAGCATCTTACAAAACAAATCCTAAAAAACCCACACCCACACATCTCCCCTGCCACCTAAATATGAGCTTGCTCTCTAGTCTAGAGCCTACTTACAGTTTTTCAGAGGCCAATGAACACACTAGTCACTGAAATATGAATAAAATGGTATCGGCTCTGCAAATCATCCACAGTCTGAAATCATATCTCCAAGAAACAATCTCAGTGCAAGTAAGAAATTTTATGTAAATATTTTATTCTTTCATATTTTGTAAATCAGAAAGCAGTGTTTGGTAATAAAAATAATACAGCAATATTATTTTTCTTCCAGTTCACACTGACATATTACCAGGTTTTCCGCATTACAGCTATCCCTCTGTCTTTTTACAGTCTTAACATTCACTTTAGGTATAATCTTCACTTTTGGATTATTAATCTTAGTCTTCTGAACTATTTACAAATATATTACAAACTCTAAGCCTCAAAGCAAAGAAATATTTCAATAATCAATTTGACTTGTGAGGATCAGTAGCGCCTACATAACTTCAGTGTTTAAGAGAAACTATACACATAGTGCGGGAAGTCTGAATAATTTATATCTTAAAAAAAGCATGGAAAATTTTTGAATATAAAACTTCTACATTGCAGTGGTACCTATTGACCAGTCTCAGTTGGAGGACAAGAATGTGATGTGATGTCACCGTGCTTGTAAAAAGCCTCATCTAAGTCCAGTGCCTTATTATTCATCTTCACAGTCATGCAACCATGGTAGAATGCAGTGACTGGAGTGGAAGTGACAGGAACATCTGTGTAAAAGCAGAAGAAAATTTCTTTAACTTCCTTAAGTTTCAATAAACACCATCCCTACCAAGTTTAGATGACTGGTACTTGGATTAATTCTAATACATTCCCCATTTCCTCTCCCCCCTTCTGCACCCTTCCATTCCACCCTCACGGTAAGCAGAATGCAAGAACACTTTGTTTCATATTTAGGGCCTTTTCTTGAAGGGATCCTCAGCTGGTGTAAATCAGTGTAGGTCCATTGACCTCAATAGAGCGATGCCAGTTTACATCAGCTGAGGGTCTGGTCCCACACTTTGAACATTAGACCCTCATTACTTTTCCATTTCAACTTAGACTCAGACTTTAAGGCCAGAAGGGACCATCGTGATCATTTAGTCTGACCTCCTGCACAACACAGACCACAAAGCCTCACCCACCCACTGCTGTAATAGACCCACAGCCCCTGCCCGCACAACAGATGCAGGTTTTGCATCTGTTATTCTGGCAGCAGTGGCGCCAGAACAGGGGTGGCCAGGGGCCATGGCCCTTCCACTTTTCACCAAGGGCCCCCCGCCCCTCCTCTTCCCCCTGAGGCCCCGCCTCCCGGCCAGGCCAGCAGCTGGAGCCCAGCCAGGGAGCCTGGGCAGCAGGGGGTGCCGCACCACAGACCCTCCACCTGCCCATAATAGGAGGCCTGAGAGCAGCCCCCGGCCCGTGTCCCCGTCCCTGGACCTCCCACCCAGGGCAGGTGGAGGTTCCACAGGTACTCACAGCTGCCTGGCCGCGTGGCTCTTACCATGGCCGGGCTGCATCTCCAAGGCCCCATTCCCCGGCCAGAGCCAGGTCAGCGTAAGAGCCACATGGGCAGCTGTGGGAAGCCAGGAACCCTCCACCTGTCCTGGGCGGGGGACCTGCAGGGCGGGTACACGGGCTGGAGGCTGCTTTCGCCTTCCCCCGCCCTGAGCAGGTGGAGGGTCCATGGCTCCTGGCCTGCTCTGGCTTCTGGCTTGGCCGGGGGTGTGGCCTCAGAGGGTGGGGATGGGGCCATAGAGAGGGCAGGGGCTTTAGCCCCCCACTTTTGAGAAGGCTCCGCCAGGGCTGTCTGGCAGGGTCTGGTGGCAGACACACCAACTCAAAGGGGCACCAGACCCTGCCAGAACAGATGCAAAACCTGCAGACATATCTCCACACTACGATCCCCAACCCCCCCCAATAACACACCTTTCAAGATCCATGGATCCTACAAATGCCTATCACAACATGCGGTGTACCTCATCCAGTGCACTAAATGCCCCAATAACAACTATGTGGGTGAAACCAGATAATCACGATGAACTCACACAGGACAATGATAAAAAGACAGAAACACCCTATCACCTGGCAGTGTTGCCAACTCTCATGATTTTGTCATGAGTCGCATGGTAATTATTAAAGTTCCAGCTCCTGGAGTCAAGTGGATATGTGATGATTTCAGCCTTCATTCTTAAAGAAAAATTAAGTTTCTAGCCCTTGTGGCTGTGGAGAAAGCTTCAAAATGTGACCCCAGTGCACCCTAAAGGCTCAAAAAGCAGAAGGCAAACAAAAATCTATTTTTTTTTTATACATAATCTCATGTTTTTAAAGCTATTCTCATGATATTTGGTGAGCCTAACTCATGATTTTTTGAACATTAGAGGTTGGCAATACTGGAACTCTTTTCACAAAGTGATCACTCTCTGACTTATCAGTCCTCATCCTCAGGGGGAACCTGCACAACACTTTCAAAAGGCGAGCCTGGGAGTTTAAATTCCTAAGCCCTTGTCTACACTATAAAGTTATATCGGCAAAAGTTATGCCGCTTTAATTAAAGCTGCTGCTGCATGTCCACACTAATTCCTTGTGTTGGCGGAGTGCAGCCACACTAACAGCTCTTGCATCCACAGAGAGCAGTGCACTGTGGTAGCTATCCCACTGTGCAACTGGCTGCAAGGTGCTTTGGGAAGGGTTTGCAATGCCTCATGGGGCAGGTACAGCGTCACACAATGCAGGCTTCTTAATCCTATTGTTCCAGGGCATCATAGTAGATTGTCAGCCGCTTTTTCAACTGAAGTGTGTGGGGGGAGGGAGAGGAGACTGGGGTGTCTGGGGCAGGGGAGACAGCAGACTGACTGACCTATTCTGAGGTGGGGGAGGGGGACACCCCCACGCATCAGCTCCCAGCTCTGCTTGGCACAGCAGTCTCTCCCGAAGCAGCCCGCTCTGCCTGCCTGCCTATGGTTCTGTGATTCCTTCCAAGTTCTCCCACAGCCTCCTCAGCTGCCAGGAGCAGCATCCTGAGCGCTCTGTGCTGAGGATAGGGTTGGCCGGGAGTCTCCCAGAATCGGCCTCAGTCTCCGGGTTGCTATTAAAAGCAATCTGGGAGTTTTTAACAAGCCAAAAGTCCGCTAAGGCAGGCTCCTTATCTGCCCTGGCTCGGCACGGCTCCCGGAAGCGGCCGGCATGTCCGGCTCCTAGGCGCAGGGCGGCCAAGGGGTCTCTGTGCGCTGCCCCCACCCTGAGCGCCAACACCGCAGCCAATAGGAGCTGCGGGGGTGGTGCCTGCAGGCAGGGACAGCGTGCGGAGCCGCCTGACCTCCCCTGAGCCTAGGAGACGCAGAGACATGCCACCGCTTTCGGGAGCTCCCCGAGATAAGCAAGGCCCAGCCGGAGCCCACACCTCCTCCTGCACCCCAACCCCCAGACCTGAGCCCCCTCCCACATCCAAACTCCCTCCCAGAGCCCATACCCCAACCCTCTGCCCCAATCCTGAGCCCCCTCTCACATCCACACTCTCTCCCAGAGCCCACACCCTGAACCCTCTCCCGCAGCCCAACACCCTGCCACAGCCCTGAGCCCCGTCCAAAACTCCATCCCAGAGCCTGTACCCCAACCCCCTGCCCCATGCTCAGTGGAGGCCTCTCCCACTCTCCGAACCCCTGTGCCCCACCCACCAACCCAGAGACCGCACCCCAACCCTCTGCCTCGGCTCAGTGAAAGTGAGTGAGCGTGGGGGAGAGCAAGCGACGGAAGGAGGGGGGATGGAGTGAGTGGGGGGTGAGGCCTCAGAGAAGGGGGGGCAGGAGTGTGGCCTTGGGAAGGGGCAGGGCAAGGGTGTTCGGGTTTGTGTGATTAGACAGTTGGCAACCATAGCTGAGGAATGTCAAAGCAGCACAGCAGTCTCCCCCCCCCACCCCTTCTCCCCACAGCTGCAGTCTGCCTGCAGCTGTGTTCCTAGTGCAGGGCAGGAGTATTCCATGTTAATGATTTGCTCTTTGTTCCCCAAAGGGAGCAGCACGCTCAGTTGTCAGATACTTCCCAGAACTTTGAAAGGGGAGGGGTGCATGCCTGCAGGGCAGCAGAGATCAAAACAGTGAGCAGAGCGGTCACAGCAGGCATTGTGGGAAACTGGTGGAAGCCAGTTATGTTGACAAAACAAACAGCAGTGGCTACACAGATGCTTTGTCACTTTAACTTTGCCACAAAAAAACTTTATGCCTGTTGCTGAAGTGGTTTTATTTTGTTGGCAAAACCGCAGAGTTTTGCTGCCAAAAGTAGCTTTGTAGTGTGTATACCTCCCCTGTTTTGCCAGCAAAACTTCATAGTGTAGACAAGGCCTAACTCTGCTAGACACTAAAAATCATGGACTGAATAGAGATACTGAATTAATGGCTTATTACAACAAGCTGTAACCCACTAACCACCTCTTTAGTAATTATTAGTAATTATTATTACTAATTTCTATAATTCTATCACCTAGCCTCCTTAAACACAGAGATTAAAAGGCAAAAAGCACACACAATAAAACCGTTAAATGAAAGCTTACTGAGATAAGTGTCCTCTTTCATGCCCTGAAGGCCACTAGCTTGTCTGTCTACAGTTTAAGGCTAAGCTAATCAAGTTGGTTGTGTAACAGAAAATGATGAATTGCTCAAGAATGATTTAATCTCACAATGGCATGGGAAGATGGATAAACCCCTCATCTCCACATCAAAGCAAGGAGGACTAGATTGACAGGATTCTCCCATGACATTAACACTACTTCCCTGGATACTACAGGACATCCAAACACGTCCTGCTTGGAGACATGCAGGGCCAAATTCAAGGTTCGTGTACGCAGGCATAACTCTACTGAATTTGGCAGCTTTAAATTTGGTCCGCAGACTTTTGGGCTTCAGAGCGGACAGAGAAGCACGTGGTGCCACACCTGTGAGTCATGAAACGGGTTTACTTTTACATATCTTGTTTAGTTTCTTTAAACAATATCCTGTAGCTAGGGCTTGGGGCATTTTCTACAGTGACCAGCTAAATTAGCATAGTTTAACCAACTTTATTCCATACTTTTCCCCCATTTGCCACATTTAAAATAACAGGCTTCTTAGGCTGGGGGATAAATCACCATTGGGGTGCATCGTAGAAAACTAAACTAAACTCTAATCTCAGGAGAAACTGATAGAATACCTGGTCTACGGTAATAAAGGTAAGTGGGAAAGGGGCGATGGGCAGTGTAGGCACGGAATGAGCTGAATGACATGAAGGGTGCTAGGACTTCTAAGATGGTATATAAAAATGAATTAATGTCATTGCATTAGTATTATATATGCAGCTCATTAGTAAAGAATTTCTAGTACTTCCACAGTAAATCTTTTATAAATTGTGATGGATGAACCTCAGAAAAGACAGTTACCTGTTCTGTAAATGGTGTTCTTCGAGATGTGTTGCTCATGTCCATTCCACATTAGGTGTGTGTGCTCACCACATGCACCAGTGCCGTAAGTTTTTCCCTTAGCAGTATCCGTAGGGGAGCAGCTCTGGTGCCATCTGGAATGACACCTGCATGGCGCAGTATAAGGAGCGCCGCCAGCTCCCCCCACCCTCAGTTTCTCCTTGCCAGAAACTCCGACAATGGGGAAGGAGGGCGGGTTGTGGAATGGACATGAGCAACACATCTCAAAGAAAACCAGTTACAGAACAGGTAGCTGTCTTTTCTTCTTCAAGTGCTTGCTCA